ATCCCCAGCGGCGTGGCCTGGGCCCCACTGGCCGATTTACCCGATAGATGGGGATTAGTATAGGTCGTTCCCTTCGGGTTTCGAGGGTTGTATCCCCAACTGGGAGGGGTAATTTGGTGGGGGTCTTCAAGGGGATGGGGATGGGGATGGGGAACGGTTAAACGATACTGATCCTCCTCCCCGCGCCTGAGCTCGATGATGATGGGGGGGTAGTCGTCCAGGAAGCGGCAGTCTTGCCTGTCCGCGGACAGCGAGCTGAGGAGCGGGGTCACCAACTCCTCTGCGCGAGGGGAGATCCCCAAGCCACCACGCCGACCTTGGCCTTGGCAACTCCTGCAAAGCCTTGGCAAAATCAAGTGAAGGGCCGCCGTTGCGCCCAGTTGAGATCCCATGGCCATTGAGACAGAGGCTAGGCGGGAAAGAGCTCGGGGGATTCAGGCCGGACCAGGCCAGATGGAGCCGGACCAGGCCAGATGGACCAGGGCTTCAAGGAATCGTGCGGAGCAGGCCGGTTTGGGGCCCCAGCTATGCTGGCACTGCTGCTGAATTTTAACCCTCCCAGGAGTTGCATCCGAAGGCTCCGATCTTCCTGCACCCCTCTGCCCCCTGATCGCCTCTGCTCTTGAGGAACAAAGAAAGGCGTCACCACCATCAGGGACCACCAGCGGGAAGAGCCAGGGATTGTCCCCCTGGTGGTGTGGTCCCCCCTCTCGCTCGAGACATCCCCTATCCCCAGCTCGGGGACGCATCGTGGACCTCATCGCTGGAGGTGTTACCCCTGGTAGTAATGGCTCCGTTTCTCCCTCCGCCGAAACTGGCGGTGGCGCCAAGAAGCCTCCCCAGAGCTCCGCCCTCCCCCCCCCTCCACAATTCAAAATGCTGACATCAAAATCGTAGATCATCGGTCTGCTGTTTGGCGTTGCGCGGACTTGGATGAACCAGCATCGCAACACACGTGCGCCTATCACAGAAATACGGAAGGACCGCCCTGACTAGGCGGCGCGGTCGAGCACAAACTGAAAGCTAGCACGGCGAGAATATCCTGGCGAAGGGCCAGACCATGTGCAGCTGCGAATGCCGCAAGGCAAATGAGAAGAAGCAGAAGAAGGAGAACGAGGAGGAGGAACGTCCGTTATAACGCCCAGAGCACCAGTTTATCACTGGCCATCTGGGACACTCCTGGGCATTGGCGGCCTATGGTCAGAACGGAGCAGGTTGGAAAAGATCATGGTCAGAAACAGCTCAATGATCAAATGATCCTAGAATCTGCTTAGTCCCAACCAAGGGCGTCAATAAAAAATGCGCAGATCGCCAGCGTGACCTCACATAAGCAACTCCTGCGCAAGAGCCTTCAGAGTACTAAACGAATTCCCGGCTCCGTGCACGAAACAAACGGAGTCCTGGGTGACCTTGTTTTTGATCCTCTTGATGCCCGCAACAAGTTCCACCTCGACGGGGATATTCGCGTCAAGCTTCATATTATGCAGGGACATCACCAATGTGCCGGCGAAATCGAGAGCCACTTTGTCGGTGTTGCTAAGGTAATACTGGTTGATCAAACGATTCTCTGTGTCCGCCCATTTTGGCATATCGGCAAACATCTCTGCGATATCCGCGACAGGGCCCATGATGAAACCCGGGTTGGCAAACTGGTACTTGGGCGGGCTGTTGCAAACCCCAGATGTGCAAGCGGCGTAAGTTGTGGCCCAGTCGGCAGCAGCACTCAGATACGAGAGGGCTCCAGTCCTGGTTGAATCCAAACCAGCGGTCGAGATATCGTAATAATACCCAAGGTCCGCATGGAAAGGACTCACCTCGGCAGCTATGACAATCGTTTGGGTGCCACCGTTAGCCGCGATTATCTGGTTGTACTTCGACAGGATGGTGCTTTCGTCGCAGCCAGCAAACAAGACTTCCCCACTGGCATGGACGGCCATCAGATCTGAATCGCCCTTCGTGGCCATCCAGGCTTGCAGGGCAAAATACCTGTTCCTTTGCCAACCCCACACTGTCGTTGCACCCGCCGGGTTCTCCATGCCGTTGAGGTGCCTCACGGTCTGGCCCCCGACGCCTCCCATACGGTAGCTCGGAGGCGGTTGGGTGGAGTTCCTGGTCTCCGCGACCAAGATCCTGCGGATAGCGATCGTGGGTGCACCTCCGCTCTGCTCAGCTGCGGTCTCGAGAGAGTCGGGAACGACCTCGAGCTCGTAAGCTGGTGCGAAAGCGTGCTCAGTGACGGTGCCCACGTCCCTGTCGGATGGCGTGTTGACGACGACATCCCAAGGATTGGGCAAGACCACCTCGTCGTTGCTGAGTACCTCTTCCGCAAGCTCGGTCATCAAGGAGATCCCTTCGCCTGAAGAAGATGAAAAAGATGACGAAGAAGAAGAAGAAGGAGCTGTCGCCGCCGCCGTCCCGTAGACTTTGATGCGCTTCGCTCCCAAGTAACCACCATTACTACCACAGCTAGCTCCGTCCGCCTTGGTGAAAGTAAAACGGATCGACTTTACACCAGCAGTGGGCGTTAGCGAGAAGGCCTCCTCAAGCGGGTTGCTCGTGCCGACGTCTGTGAAAGTAATATGCTGCGTCGACAGTACTGCGCCGCTGGTAGACTTCAGCGCCACGTCCATCTCGTCGCCCTGATCGAGGGCCGCATACCGTTGGCGAATAGTGACAATGTCCACGGTATATTCGTCCGGCAAAGTCACTTCGATCCATATCCCTACGCAGCCACCCAGCTTGTCCGATGCCCCCTCATTGTCCGCTGCCCAAACGTATGAGTCATCGCCAGGTGCTGCAATGTCGTTGCTGTCCACGAAGACATTGCTGCAAACCAAGGGAGCGCCAGTGTCGGGAGCATACTCGCTAATCGCCGTGCAGGTCAGGCCGGTGATTTCCGCGGACTTCAACGTCGATGCGGCGATCAGCTGCGATGCGGTAACGCGCGATGCGTCGCTCACGGCATTTGGCCAGTTCAGCGCGCGCGTGCGCGCAAGGCAAAACGCACCCGTCAGGAGAACCAGTCTCATCAGCAAGGCCAGGGAATGCAATGGATGTTCAATACGTGTGGACGGATTCCAGACTCGGACACTCCTGTCTTGAGCCAAAACGGCTACGGAGGAGGAGGAGGGGAGGAGGAGGAGGAGGAGCAGGAGGAAGACGAGGAGGAGGAGAAGGAGGATCGGGGCGCACATCCAAGCGGGGCGGCCGCCATGCGGGCGCTGCCAAGGGGGGCGTTCAGTGGAGCTTCCTCTGGGGTCACGCATCGCATGCGGGTGCGCCGAAGCGAGGCGGCGGCGCCGTGCGGGCGGCACCACTGAGGGCCTCGATGGAGCTCCACGCGGAGCCACGAAGCGCGTGAGGGTGTGCCGAAGCGAGGCGGCGCCGCCAGTGCCAAGTCTGCCCTGCCTCGGGGGCCTTCGGGGGAGCTCCCTGCGAAAACAAGACGCGCGTGCGAGGTGGTGCCTTAATAATGGCGGCACCGCTGTGCGGGCGCTGCTGCGCCACCACGGCCAAGAGAAGGAGCCCCCTATTTTAACCACAAAACCGCGCGAGAGGTGTGCCGCCACCAGGAGGCGCCGCCATGCGAGCACCGCCACCGGGGCCTTGGATGGAGCTCTCTATGACCATGGGAAGATGGGGCCACGAATCGTGTAAAGCGAAGGGGCCCCAGGACACACAAATAAATACACACAAATAAAAAGACTCCCCATATGTTCACATATTTTCTGGGTTTCTGTCTTCCCCCCAACTTCCCATATTTTCTTGTATCTTCTGAGGAGTCGAGGGTTGATTATGCCTGTGTGTTTCTTTCCCCTCCTGAGTAAAGGGTGTGGCGTCGTGAAGCGGCGCCGCCGTGCGGGCACCGCCAACGGGGCGGGCCCTCGGCGGAGTCCCTTTCCGGGCCCACGAGGCGGTGCAACGCGGCGTGCCGAAGCGAGGCGGTGCCGCCACGCGGGCGCTGCCAATGGGGCGTTCGGAGCGCTCCCTATACGGGGCCACGAAACGCCTAAGGTAAAGGGAAATTAGGACACACAAATAAATACACACAAATAAAAATATCCCCCATATTTTCCCATATTTTCTGGGTTTCTGTCTTCCCCCCCACTTCCCATATTTTCCCATATTTTCTGGGGAATCGAGGATTAATTGTGTCTGTGTGTTTCTTTTCCTCCTGATAAGGGTGTGCCGACATTGACTACCTACCAGACCACCCCAACCCAACCCGAAGACCCGAATTTCGGGTGGGGGGGGTACGGGTTCCATATGTGTTTCCTCGACGTTCCCGGACCCACCCCCACTGGAAATGGAAAGCAAATTGAGGCCTTCGGGTTGGGTTGGGGTGGTTTGGTGGGTGGTGAGACATCTGGCGGCGCCGCCATGCGTGCGTTACCCCTGGGCCCTTTGGTGGAGCTCCCAAGGAAGCCACGAAACGTGTGAGTGGTGAGCTGAAAAGGAGCGGCGCCGCAATGTGGGCGCCGGCATGTGGGCCTTGATGGCAATGTGGGGTGTCTGCCGGAATTGGCCAAAGGTAGAAGAAAGTGAAGGAGCGGGAATGACTCGGGGCGCTGTTTCAAAATGAAGACCCAGCACCACGAGATGCTGGGCAAAACAAAAACAAAGAAAACAAGAGCAACGATACAGCCGGCTTGAAAGAGAGAGAACCGGCGATGATGTTCCTCCTCCTCCTCCTCCTCCTCCTCCTCCTCCTCATCCTCCTCTTCCTCGTCCTCCTCCTCCCCTTCCTCTTCGCGGGACGTCTTCGTTCCCAGACATCCGACGATGCGACCCATTCAAGCCACAGCCTTCAGAAATCTCGACCCTGTTCGTCCCCAGGGAAATTCCCGTCCACGATCCATCCCTGATGCGCCGTGGGCTCGAAAACGCCACGGCGCGCACAACTCTGTAGGAGGAGATACCCACTCTGACCTCCGAAAATAAATTACATCTTCTTCAAACATAATGCCGCGGAACCTCTCGACCCCTTACCCAGGCCGGGTTACCGTCTGGAGCCGTTGGTGCACCGTCCAAGGTGTTGGAAGGTGTTGGAAGATGGACTCCAGAAACTTAAAACAGTGAAATGTATCAGCCTATCTCTCTCTCTCTCTCTGTTGTTCTCTCCCTCTCTCTCTCTCTCTTGAGCGTTCCCTCCCAGTCTCTCTCGCTATCTCTCTCCCTCGATCTCGCTATGACTCTCTCTCTCTCTCTCTCTCTCTCTTTCTCTCAGTATCCCTCTCTCTCTCTCTCTTTCTCTGTTTCTTTCTCTCTCACTATATGTGGTTATCTCTGTTAGTTCTCTCTCTCTCTCTCTGGCGCTCTCTCTCTCTCTCATTTCTATGTATGTCTCTCTCTCTCTCTTTCTCTCTCTCTCTCTCTTTCTCTCTCTCTCTCTATCGCGCTCTCTTGTCGCTGTTGTTCTCTCGCTCTCTCTCTCTCTCTCTCTCGCTTTGTCCCTCTCGCTCTCTCTCGCTCTCTCTCCCTCTCTCTCCCTCTCTCTCTTTCCCTCTCGTTCAATAAACGTACTGTTGTGTATGTGTCTCTATCCGATTCATTTTGTTGCTCGCTCTCTCTCTCTCTCTCTATATATATATGCCCCTGGCTCTCTCACTCTTTGTTCTATCTCTCGCATTTCTCTCTCTCTCTCTCCCTCTCTGTCCCCTCCTGAGCTCACTCTCTCTCTCTCTCTCTGTCTCTCTCTCTCTCTCTCCCTCTCTCTCTCTCTCATTCTCCTTTCTATGTAAACATGTACGCAATCCAGTTCCTTCTCTCTCTAGTTGTTCTCTCTCTCTCTCTCTCTCTCGTTTTCTCTCTCTCTCTTTTTGTCTCTCTCTCTCGTTCTCTCATTCTCTCTCTCTCTCTCTCTCTCTCTCCATCCCTCTCTCTCTCTCTCTCCCTCTCTCTCCCTTATATATATATATATGTATATATGTGTATTCCCAACCCTCCTTGGTCGGGAATTCGGTTTGAAAAGAGGGGTGTGGTCGCGTCCTCCTCCCGCCTCCCGCCTCCTCCTGCCCTCTCTTCGCCGACGATGGGGGCTGCGATCTGCGAAACTGTCGCCACTTTCGAGGGCTGCTGGTGGGTCCAGCGGAGTGAGGCACCGCGCAGATCTGAGCGAGACCTCGCCGTCCCTGGGGGAGGGCTGCGATCTGCGAAACTGCCGCCACGTTCGAGGGCTGCTGGTGGGTCCAGCGGAGTGAGGCGCCGCGCAGATCCGATCGAGACCTCGCCGTGCATGGGGGGGCTGCGATCTGCGAAACTGTCCCCACTTTCGAGGGCTGTTGGTGGGTCCGGCGGAGTGAGGCACCGCGCAGATCTGAGCGGGACCTCGCCGTGCCTGGGGGGCTGCGATCTGCGAAACTGTCGCCACGTTCGAAGGCTGCTGGTGGGTCCAGCGGGGTGAGGCACCGCGCAGATCTGAGCTGGACCTCGCTGTGCATGGGGGGTCTGCGATCTGCGAAAGTGTCGCCACGTTCGAGGGCTGCTGGTGGGTCCAGCGGAGTGAGGCACCGCGCAGATCTGAGTGAGACCTCGCCGTGCATGGGGGCGCTGCGATCTGCGAAACTGTCGCCACTCTCGAGGGCTGCTGGTGGGTCCAGCGGGGTGAGGCACCGCGCAGATCTGACCTCGCCGTGCCTGGGGGGCTGCGATCGGCGAAACTGCCGCCACTTTGGAGGGTTGCTGGTGGGTCCAGCGGAGTGAGGCAGCGAGCAGATCCGATCGAGGCCTCGCCGTCCCTGGGGGGGCTGCGATCTGCGAAACTGTCGCCACTTTCGAGGGCTGCTGGTGGGCCCAGCGGAGTGAGGCACCGCGCAGATCTGAGCGAGACCTCGCCGTCCCTGGGGGGCTGCGGTCTGCGAAACTGTCGCCACTTTCGAGGGCTGCTGGTGGGTCCAGCGGAGTGAGGCACCGCGCAGATCTGAGCGGGACCTCGCCGTGCCTTGGGTGCTGCGATCTGCGAAACTGTCGCCACGTTCGAGGGCTGCTGGTGGGTCCAGCGGAGTGAGGCGCCGCGCAGATCCGATCGAGACCTCGCCGTGCATGGGGGGGCTGCGATCTGCGAAACTGACGCCACTTCCGAGGGCTGCTGGTGGGCCCAGCGGAGTGGGGCACCGCGCAGATCTGAGCGAGACCTCGCCGTGCCTGGGGGGCTGCGATCTGCGAAACTGTCGCCATTTTGGAGGGTTGCTGGTGGGTCCAGCGGGGTGAAGCAGCAAGCAGATCTGAGCGAGATCTCGCCGTGCCTGGGGTGCTGCGATCTGCGAAACGGTCGCCACTTTCGAGGGCTGTTGGTGGGTCCAGCGGAGTGAGGCACCGCGCAGATCTGAACGGGACCTCGCCGTGCCTGGGGTGCTGCGATCTGCGAAACTGTCGCCACGTTCGAGGGCTGCTGGTGGGTCCAGCGGAGTGAGGCACCGCGCAGATCTGAGCGGGACCTCTCCGTGCATGGGGGGGCTGCGATCTGCGAAACTGTCGCCACTTTGGAGGGTTGCTGGTGGGTCCAACGGAATGAGGCACAGCGGGGATCTGAGCGGGACCTCGCCGTCCTGGGGGGGGCTGCAATCTGCGAAACTGTCGCCACGTTCGGAGGCTGCTGGTGGGTCCAGCGGAGTGAGGCACCACGCAGATCTGAGCGGGACCTTGCCGTCATTGAGGGGCTTCGATCTGCGAAACGGTCGCCACTTTCGAGTGCTGCTGATGGATGGGTCCAGCGGGGTGAGGCACCGTACAGATCTGAGCGGGACCTCGCCGTGCCTGGCGGGCTGCGATCTGTGAAAGTGTCCCCACTTTCGAGGGCTGCTGGTGGGTCCAGCGGAGTGAGGCACCGCGGAGATCTGAGCGGGACCTCGCCTTCCTTGGGGGGCTGCGATTTGCGAAACCGTCGCAACTTTCGAAGGCTGGTGGCGGGTTCAGCGGAGCGAGGCACCAGGCAGATCTGAGCGAGACATCGCAATCCTTGGGGGCTGCGAGCCTCACGAATGCCGCTCGCAGAAGTATATGCGCCCATGTCACGTCACCACCTCCGTATAACGTCTCTCAAGATACTCATGCCCCGCATTGCGCAGGGGTTGGCTACGTCGCCAGGGTGAGTTCCCAACCCTCCTTGGTTGGGTTTTCGTTTTGAATAGAGCACTGCGGTCGCGTGCCTCCTCCTCCTCCTCCTCCGTCTCCTCCTCCTCCTCCCGCATCCCGCCTCCCTCTTGTCTCCTCTCGCCTTGTGGGTGCCGCGTGTGCGCGCGTGTGCATCTTGCATGCGGTACCTTTTGTGTGCATCTTGCCTGGGGTGCTGCGATATGCGAAACTGTCGCCACTTTGGAGTGCTGCTGGTGGGTCCAGCGGGGTGAGGCACCGCGCAGATCTGAGCGAGACCTCGCTGTCTCTGGGGAGCTGCGGTCTGCGAAACTGTCGCCACTTTCGAGGGCTGCTGGTGGGTCCGGCGGAGTGAGGCACCGCGCAGATCTGAGCGGGACCTCGCCGTGCCTGGGGTGCTGCGATCTGCGAAACTGTCGCCATTTTCGAGGGCTGCTGGTGGGTCCTGCGGAGTGGGGCACCGCGGGGATCTGAGCGGGACCTCGCCGACCCTGGGGGGGCTGCGATCTGCGAAACTGTCGCCACTTTCGAAGGCTGCCGGTGGGTCCTGCAGAGTGAGGCACCGCGCAAATCTGAAAGGGATCTCGCCGTCCCTGAGGGGCTGCGGTCTACGAAACTGTCGCCACTTTCGAAGGTGGCTGGTGGGTCCAGCGGAGTGAGGCACCGCGCAGATCTGAGCGGGACCTCGCCGTCCCTGGGGGGCTGCGATCTGCGAAACTGTCGCCACGTTCGAGGGCTGCTGGCGGGTCCAGCGGAGTGGGCACGCGCAGATCTGAGCGAGACCTCGCCGTCCCTGGGGGGCTGCGATCTGCGAAACTGTCGCCACTTTCGAGGGCTGCTGGTGGGTCGAGCGGAGTGAGGCACCGCGAGGACCTGAGCGAGACCTCGCCGTCCCTGGGGGCTGCGATCTGCGAAAGTGTCTCGCCACTTACGAAGGCTGCTGGAGTGTCCTGCGGAGTGAGACAGACAGAGGCCCGGTCAAACCACGTGGGTTGGCCCGTAGACGGGCGAGGCTCCAGCACGGTGGCCTGAGCGCGCACGTGCGTAAACGGAGAGCAAACGTTGTGCCTCCGAGGGGGGAGGGGGGAGGAAAGAAAAGAACGGGGCCGGTCCTCACGCGTGAATGCAATACTCGACGAATGCGTCCTCGTCACCATCGTGTACACTGTCATACCAGCGAGATATATTATGCAAGACATCGCGGGCGAATCCTTGGAGGCGGTCGTCCCATCTCGTCGGAGGGCGCCCGCGCGCGCTCGTAGCCCCATGCGTGTAGCGCGGGTTCCATACTATGATTTTCTGAGTCCATTCCGTGTCCGAGCATGCTGACCTGCACGCGAATCTGAACAGGCGGCGGTAATGCAATTCACTCCATTTTTCAATCGGAAAGATCTGCATTGCATTGAAAATCTGAACGGGACCTCGCCGTCCCTGGGGGGCTGCGATCTGCGACACTGTCGCCACTTTCGAAGGCTGCCGGTGGGTCCTGCGGAGTGAGGCGCCGCGGAGATCTGAGCGGGACCTCGCCGTGCCTGGGGGGCTGCGATCTGAAAAACTGTCGCCACGTTCGAGGGCTGCTGGTGGGTCCAGCGGGGTGAAGCACCGCGCAGATCTGAGCGGGACCTCGCCGTCCCTGGTGGGCTGCGATCTGCGACATCGTCGCCACTTTCGAGGGTTGCTGGTGGGTCCTGCGGAATTGGGCACCGCGGGGATCTGATTGGCACCTCGCCGTCCCTGGGGGGCTGCGATCTGCGAAACTGTCGCCACTTTCGAGTGCTGCTGGTGGGTACTGCGGGGTGAGGCACCGCGGGGATCTGAGCGGGACCTCGCCGTCACTTGGGGGGGCTCTGGAAAGCTGGAGGGGGATACGTTAGGCGCAACGGGCGCATGGCACAGCCAACGGGGGTGATTTGTGAAACAGACCAGTTTCCGGGCGATGGCCATAACGTTGCGCCTACACGTATCCCGCGGGGGTTCTCAAGAGTTGCTGCGGGATACGTTGGGTGCAACGGGCGCATGGCACAGCTAACAGGGGTGACTTGTTATTACGTTGCCCTTAGATGTTGATCAGGGGCCTGCGAGCCTTCCGATTGCTGCTCGCAAAATCACATGCGTCCATGTTACGTCATCGCCCCCGTCGTGGTAATCCTGATGCATTTATGCCCCGCATTGCGCAAGGGTTGGGTACGTCGCCCAGGTAATGTTATTCCTCTCTCCCTCTCTCTCCTTATCCCCCTCTCTCTCCCTCTCTCTCTCTTTCTCCCTCTCTCTCTCTTTCCATATAGGTACGTATGCGTATACACGTGTAATATATATAAATATATATATATATATATATATATATGTACATCTATATTCTGTATATACAGATACAACACAGCATTTGCGTTTCGCGCCATGCGCCTTGTTCCGGACGTTTCTCCAACAAAGCAATACATCATCGCATGCGCCAGCAGGAAGGACCTCGAGGCCTTGACGGGCGATCGGTTCATTTGTCTGATATCCCTTTGTGCCTGCCGACGCCACGTACGCCCGACGTGTTTGCACGCTTGCGCGCAGGAGTTGGACAGGGCAGATGTGTTTTCAAGCGCGAAGGTGCTGGCAAACGACGAAGCGCCAAACTGTGGCGATGGCACTGGTCCATGAACGGGGAACGGGAAGGGAGCAAGAATGAGGGGGGGGACTGAAGAGCAGAAGGGGGGAGGAGGGGGGAGAGGGTCCAGAGAAAGGAGCGGCGAATGAGGATGGCCATCGGATGCCGCGAACATGGAGGATGACGAAGAAGACAGAAGGGCGAAGGGAGAGAGAGAGAGAGGGTGCTGAAGGGACGGGAAAAAACAGGCGGGCAGGCGTGAGCGCAACGAGCGCGCGGAGAACGTCGTCTGGGCGTTTTGGGGGCTCTTTTTGGCCGTCCTTTTTTTTCTCACGTGCCTCCCCGTGGTCGTAACTAATTGTCCCCGTGGGCAACGCCGCCTGAGGAGAACTGGCGTGGCAAGGCCCATCTGAAATTCTGCGCACAAAGGAATGCGCCTGCAAATTACTGCAAAGCCTGTCTCCGTGCCCAATGCACAGGGGGTGGCTGTGCCCAACAATCACTGGTTGGCGCGGGACGGCTGGTTATACAATATTTTAAAATTGTCAGAAGGTGCGTATAGCGAGCTATCGTGGAAACAACGAAGGGAGCCTCCGTGGAAACAACGAAGGGAGCTCCTGGCCTTGTGACTAGGAATAGTTCAAAAGGGTCAGACGGTGCGTATAGCGAGCTTCCTACGGCGAAGTGAGCTCCTAGCCTTGTGACTAGGACAGCACGCACTCCCTATTCCTTAGCACTGCGCGAACTCCTGTATCTTGGTGGCGCCCGGCAGGGCTTCTAAGAAGGAATGGGGAGCGTTTGCGTGGCAACCTCGATCTTAAAATATGAGCGCAATTGTGTGCCGTGCGAGCTCGTTGAGCCCACATACATCCTCGTAAAACTCCCAGGCCTGTCTCCGTGAGCAGTGCAGAGGTGGCAGCTGCACCCAAGATTGAAAAGTTGCTGAGGCGGGACGGCTGGTTATGACATGTCTTCAAAAAGCAAGAAGGTGCGTATAGCGAGCGCTCGCGGATGCCAGCCTCCGAAGATACGGCGAAGATACCTCCTGACCTCGTGACTAGGACAGCACGCACTCCCGATTCCCATGCCGCAGCGCGAAGTTCTCCTCGAACCTCCGAGCTCCCCACATAGGACGCGGCCAGACGCTGGCGAGACCGTTCGGCACTCCTACATCCCACTCACCGGCGACGCCTAGCTGCTCCCAGCCAAGTGGTACGACCGGCTCCGCGACCTCAGAGCGGCCCCGAGCGCTGCTGAGGGGGGCGGGACTGGCGGCGGGACCGGCGGCGCAACGGGCCCGCGCGCGCCGCGGCGCAACTCCCTGGAGACGGCGCCCGCCCACCTCCTGGGGCTGCCGGCGGCGCCCTCGCCGCTGGCGCCGTCTGCTGCTGCTGGCGGCGCGACCGCCGCTGGCCCGAGGACGTCGCTCCCCTCGAGGCACGGGCGGCGCTGCCGCACGCCCAGCTCCCAGGGCGAGCACGCCGGCCGCTGGGCGGCAGCCGCCCTCTGCTCCCAGAACACCTCTGACCGCAGGCGCCTGAGCGGGGCCTCCCTCGGCGCTGGCATCGCAGACCTCCTCCAGGGGCGCTGGCCCACGGAGCGCACCGCCTCCATGAGCGCCTTCTCGAGTGGCGCCGGCTCGTCGCTCCGGTGCGCGGTGGCGCCCCAGCTCCCCTTGTGCACGTCGGCGTCCTGGTCGTCGTCGAAGGCGACCAGCTCTGACGTTGGGCATCGCGTGGGGGCCGAGCTGGGCCAGTCCGACTCGGGGCGCACCGCCTCGCCCTTCCCCTGCTCGGCGAGAACCGCTTCACCTTCT